TACCAAAAATGTGAAATCTTATTTTCAATATCAAACGTCCTCTCATCTAGACAACATTTTGCAATATTGTTGTTTGATAGTGTTAATATTTAAAATTAGAGTAAATATTTTTCATAGCCGAGTAAGGGAGGCTGGAGCAGCTTCGGCACTTTTTGTTTATCTCAGTACATACTTATTCAACAGATATAAAAAGTTTATGGCTGATTATTTTAATCTGATTCATTATTTAAAAACTCGTTCCAAATGCATATGATAAATTATTAAATGTTAAATATTGTTAGTTTTGTAAAAAAATCAAATTCGAGGATGGCGCCCCTACCCGGCATAGCTTTCGCATATGATGGGGCACATTTGGCTCCCATAGCATGCTGATAATTATTATCGATATGAGTTTATTATCCGACTCTGTTTGACTTTTAAGGCTTTATATTTTCTAACGGCGGACGTTGAATTCTTAACCCTACGGTCAATAACCAAAAAACTATACGTAGATCAATAACCGTGGTACATTTGTACCCATCTAAAGATAGCGCTGTAATTCATTAAGAAATTGGAGTATCGTGCGGTTATTTGTTTAAAATTAGTCTGTACGGATCTGATCTAGATGTAGGAACTCAATATTATATATACATAAAAAATATATATATATATAAATATCCATGTTTAAATCATACTCTACCTAAAACAATCATAATAATTTCGTTGTAGCTTTCGAATGGGTTAAGCTTTTTTAATTATGAGCCCCTGTATACCAAAGGAAAATCAAGGTAGTTTCTGACTTCCACGAACAACCCTGATGGCCCCATGATGTCTAGGGCCACAAAAATTTGCAGAGGAGTTGGGGAACAACTAAATAAGATCCCTATCAAAAAATTATAAAAAAAAATTAAGAAAGCTTAATTAAGAAAGCTACAACGAAATTAAGAAAGCTACAACGAAATTATTATGATTGTTTTAGATAGATTATCATTTAAACATGAGTTTAAATATATATTCCTTTAATGTATATATAATTTAGAGTTCCAACATCTAGATCAGATCCGTACATTTAATTTAAAACAAAAAAACCCCACGATAAGCGATTTTTTTAATAAATTACAGCGTTATACAAATGTACCACGGTTATTGATCTACGTAGGTAATATCTTTAAAAAATTATATATGGAAAATATTTATATTTTTTTCTTCAATTATGGGTGAAAATACCTCAACAGTGATTCCTCAAAATTTGATTCAAATACTCCACTATTGAAAATTTTACCGCATTTTTATTCGAAAAAAGGTACAAATGTACCCGGTTATTGACCTTAGGGTTAAGGCAACAGGGTTAAGTCAGAAATAGTTTTCTCTATCGCATATTCGTCAATATCGTCACGTTATCTATTATATATGTATTTTCGATCCATATTAAAGTATTTTTTTAAACACAACCTCAAAAACATTTAAAGGAACTTTCTGTAAATGGATGTTCCTCACAATACAATACAATACTTAATCTGCCCAGAAGGTTTTTCTATTAATCTTAAAAAAAAAAAAAAAAAAACATTATATTTTTAATTATTTTTATAAGAATAAACAGTGTAGTAGCCGAGTTTTTCATAGTACTGCATTGAAAATTGAAAAGCTTTATACACATTCCGTAAATATTACAAAAATATTTTTAAAAATACAAAACCCGTGCTTATTGGCTAGAGATTTCAAACATTGAGATAGTTATTTATTTTTATATTTGATACCTATCGGTCAAAGCTTGTGGTGTACAATGAGAGCTTCATATTGAAAATGCCATTGCCGGAGGAGGTCCAATCCGAAGCAGCCCCAGTTTCCAGTGGATATGGTTCAGTCGTCTTCAAATATTATCGGCAATCATTTAATTTTTATTAATTTATATCCCAATATAAATTACCAAAAATGTACGAATGTCATAACATCACCTGCATAGGATTTCAAAGGAATAGAATATGACTGCCAATGAAAAACTTTAACATCACCATTGATGAGCATCTAGTTAGACATCCTAGAGCCCATTTTACATTCAAAAGAGGATTTATCTACTTCATAAGTATATTTCTAATAGTATTTCAACTCACCATTATGGCTCCAAAAGTATCACAAAAATTACATATCATTTTGGATATTCTTTCACTTGACATATCCTTTTATAAGGGATAATGAAGATGATACTAATATTTCACATTTAAATATATAAAATAATAGAAAAAACTATTTCATCACTTTTCAAATTAAAAACAGCCTACCGAAATAGATGAACTGCCAATAGTCTCCAAAATGTTATTTTGATTCTCTACAAAATCAAAATATCGATTTTTTCCATTTCATAACGATTAATCGAAAATCGACCTATGTATCTCTACAATGAAAATTAAGTGGTATACACACTAGCAGCTTTGAATACTGGATTGCAAGATATACTTCTCATACCCATACTTCCAAAGAGAAAAACTATTAAAATGTATAATGGGAAAATTTACAGCAATTTAGCTTCTTTCGAAATTATTGTGGTTAGAGAATACACAACAAGTACATAAAGATTTATAAAAAAATAAATATTCTTGTAGGTTCTAGAACGTATGATATTTACACATATCAAATTATATATATTAAAAAATGAATTGATATCTCAAAAGTTGTTTATGATTTCTCTTCCCACATCGTCTACAATATTTCCAACATTCTTAAAATTTCCAAACGAGCGTCAAATCAATATTAGAGTTGCATGCATTTGTTTACTGCATGTAAACAAGGCCCATATTGTCATTCAAAACCGATGGTGTGTATTCCCCTTCAATCATAAATGTCAAACAAAGGAAAATTAGTAGAGTTGGGCAATCTAGTTCACGTAGCGGATCGATCATTCTCGTTTCTTTTTTAAAAAGGAACTAGTTCCTTAATGTAGTTCCTTTGAACTATGTAATTACTTCATAATTAAGAGTCGAACCACGAATGAGAGAGGGAACAACGCTCGTCTGTACATGGCATTAGACTTTTCAATACAAAAAGTCGATTAATCGAAAGTCGATTTACTTATCCCTAATCATAATTTGCCTAAACCTCATTCGTAAACAACACGGTTTCCATTTAGTCTCTATCCCACTTCAATCGTAAACTTTCGGTTATACCATTTTGAGTTCATCTTTATCGGCCATTTTGTCTTCTCCTCCCATTCGTTAGCAGGTGGAACGTTTTTCAATTTTTTCAGTCGTCGTTTTTATTTTAGCTCCGTTCCAAAACCTAAAAGAATCTACTAATTTTACAAGTTTTGCAACTTTTTACTCGAAAACCGTTCCTGAACCCATAAAACTGGTAAAGCATTGAATCAAATTTAAGAGAGCACAAAACAAAATGGCTTTCTCTTTGTAAACTTTTTGTTATGTTGATTTTGAAGTATTGCCATCTAATTTTGGCATATTTACTAGATTTGCGTTCCCGAACTTTTCAAATTATTTTGTACTCCGAGACTTGAAATGTTTCCCTTTTACTAGCTTTACTATTAAACAAGTGAAAAAGCGTTAAGTTCGGCCGGGCCGAACTTTGGATACCCTCCACCACAGGTATACTGACAGGTATTTGAAATGAAAAAGTGGACCGATATTTATAATTTTAAATAGAGATATTTGGTACCCAATATGAACCCACTGTACCAAATTTCAGCGAATTCGGTTGAAAATCGCGCTTAAGAACCTCAAAATACCGAAAATTTGGGGTGCCCTTATATTTGGGGCTACCAGAAAAAGTGGGCCGATATTTATAATTTTTAGTAGAGATATTTGGTACGCAATATGAACCCAATGTACAAAATTGCAGCGAATTCGGTTGAAAAGCGCGCTCAAGAACCCCAAAATACCGAAATTGGGGGGTACCCTCATATGGGGGATATCCGAAAAAATTGACCTATATTTAAATTTTTTTGTGGAGAGATTTGGTACCTGCTAAGAACTCAAAATACTAAATTACAGCCAATTCGGTGAAAAATACGATAAAAACCCAAAAAATACTGAAAATTAGGAGGTACCGTTATATGGGGGCTACAAGAAAAAGTGGACCTATATTTATAATTTTTTGTGGATACATTTACTACAAATTCGCTTGAAAAACGCGCTCAAGAACCCCAAAATACCGAAAATTGGGGGGTACCCTTATATGGGAGCTATGCCTAAACGTGGACCGATATATCCCATCTTCGAACTTGACCTCCCTGCAGACAAAAGACAACCCTATGCAAAATTTCAGCACCCTATCTCAATTCCTTCAGAAGATAGCGTGATTACAACAGACGGACGGACATGGCTAGATCGTCTTAGAATTTTACCCTGATCAAGAATATATATACTTTATAGTGTCGGAAATGAATATTTCGATGAGTTACAAACGGAATGACAAAATTAATATACCCTCCATACTATGGTGGAGGGTATAAAAAGTACTGGAACAGACCATTTGTTGGCGAAGGTTTGCGTACGACGTCGCTTGAGTCTTGGCAGAACGACGATTAACAAGCGAATTTTATGAAGGCTGGAGTCTTGGAGGCTTCCCACTGTTCTTTTGAATCTCTCTCTTTTATTATTTTTTTTTTCGTTTTTCCATATATAGTTCCTTTGCTCCATATAGTTCCTTTGCTCTTTATAGTTCCTATGCTCCAAATAGTTCCTTTGCTCCATATAGTTCCTTTGCTCTTTATAGTTCCTTTGCTCCATACAGTTCCTTTGCTTCAAATAGTTCAAAAAAGGAACTGGATCAGAGAAAGGAATTATATTAATTAAAGAACTGGAACTAGTTCCGTTCGTTCCTTTCTCGGAATAGTTCCAATGAACTAGTTCGTTCCGGAACTAAAAATTAGCGGATAGAATTCTACATCATTTCATCCAAAGATTTTATTTATAAAAAAGGAAAAAATAGAATTCTGCACAAAAATAAATCTATTCATTCCACACGACAACAGAAAAAAATCAAGCGAGCAAAACTCGTCAAGCGTGCAGACCATCATCAATAGATGATGAGACAAATAAATCGAAAAACATGTTGTTGGTGGGGGCCAATGACGTTGGCCAAATCAATATTTCTCTTGGGCATTATTGCGGCATTTTTCCACGCCAAACTGGTGGAGGGTCGTAAACATCATTTGGAAGTGCAGGTAAATTCACGAAGGGTATGTGGTAAAATATATATTTTAATGTGTTATTGTCCTTTTTTCAGACGGACAGTCGTCCCTACATTGCTCTATCCACTTTTGGTTTCTACACCCATGGCCATTTGAATGTAAAATTAAGTAATCTAGTCTTGTCATCGGAGAAAGGCGATGAAAATGTAAGTTTCCTTTTTTTCGCGGAAGATTCCAATTGGAATAGATTTCAAGTAACACATGATTTTGTTTGTCATCCCTAGATTGGTTTGTCTCTGGACAAGACCACCATCGATCAAATGAATCCCTATTTGGATTCACATCAAAACAAATGTCTGCTTGAAGAATCATCGGGTCTACAAAGAAATGGTCCGATTCTATTCTTTTTGTTCGATTTGAAAAAGTTACAGTAAGTATTTTGTTCAAAGTGTGTGCATGCAGCACAGCAATTGCATTAAAAATTGCTTCGATTTGTGACTGGTGTGTAGGAATGTGGGTGTGTGTGTGTTAAGGGCGGTAACTTTAGAATAGACTAGGTGAGTGAGTGACTGTCACTGTGACAACGTGAAAACTAAACAGAACTTGTTATTAAATAATAGTGCAGAATGTTGGTGTCTGTCACAAAGTTCAATGTGTTAATGGCTAAATGAGATGAGGCGGGAATTTTGGTGGATGTCCGTACTTGAAGGGTGTACTATTTGTACCACTAATGGAATCTATATAGAGAATACCTTGTTTTTTAAATATTTTAAAGTAGGAATTTTCAATAAGTCGAAACAAAATCGACTTGAGACATATCTCTTACCTCATATACTAACCTTCTCGATAATGTACACGGTTGAATTATCGTCCTAGTAGCAATATCCTGGTCTGATATGTTGTTTCGGTAAGTCCTTACCAGAGGTCGCACCAAGCCTCCATGCAATATTCAGACAAAACCACACTACCTCCCACTTCTTAACTAAGTTTTTGGAGAGTGGGAAATTCATTTTCTTATATCATCCAACACTAACATTTTACTGGTACACTTGTCCTACCAATTGTCTACAAGCCCGTTGCTTACCTATTGGCAATCCCAAATGTACAGTTATAAGAAAATCGTTGGGAAATTTATGACGTAGATCTTCAAATTAAAATATTGCTCTATTCCTATAGCACAGACCAAGGCAGTAACCATAGCAGGATTGTCGGGCCGATTGAATTGGCTACTAGGAGCCAATTGTCTTTGTTGCCAATTCTTTACCATAGTATTAGAATATGCCATGGTCGACCTAAAGTCCTCAAGCTCCAAACTTCCAAGGAATCTTATGAGAAAACCACATTTCCTACATATTTAAGCGATCTTATTCTCACTGATGTTGGTTTGAATGCCTAGACACTAGATTACCGAAGGCGGTCATTTTTTCAATTTCAAGTACAAAAACATGGTGACAAGACCTGAACCAGATTGAATTAAACAAGAAGATAAAACTGCTGCAACAACAACTAAATATGTCAATGTTAAGGAAGCATCCGACAAAATATCTATCTATTGCCTAGAATCTCTGATCAATCATATATAATATTCCTAAATGATGAGAAATCCTTGCTACCAAATTTAAATGTACAAAAATCATACATTTTGATGACTTTTCTAAAGCTCCTAATAGAATCTGTGTCGGTTTTTCTAAAGCTCTTAATAGAATCTGTGTCGCTAACAATGACCTTTGTGCAGACTTTGGATGTCATTTTCATAGAATAACACATTGGAATAATATAAGACAGAACAATGAACCTCAGTGAAACTGTCTAAAGAAACTTCTTGTAATGAATTCCAAAAAGCCGTTAATTGCAACGCTTTCCTTCAAAATACACAAAAAATAGGGCGGGGGCTTTTATAATTTTACGCTGATGAAGTGGGCTTAAAGTAATGGGGTCTCCGACGAATATTTCCAAGTGTTTGGAAATGGGATGTACAATTTAATATTATGGTGTTGGTTATCAACATGTGGATTTTGGTTTTTGGAAATTGTTGTTGTAACAGTTTGGTGGTTGGAGAAAGTTCTTTCCTGAAAATATTGGCACAATAAATTGAAAAGGAAAATTGGCAACTTGTAGGCTCGGACGGACAATTGAATAGATAGTGTGTAGCATGAGCTTTTTGCTGGCAAAGGGGCAACTATTTAGAATTTTGGGGACAATGCGCTCTCGATACGAATTGAGAACATATCTATACCCGCATTTTAGTTGTGAGTGAATCGAAGCGTTTTGCCTAGCAAGAAGCCTCCCATGGTCCGAAATTGCAGGAGGATGTTGGAGTAGGACTTTGTTGCATCTGTAACCATTTATGGCTTCGGAGACCACCTGTTGATCCCTGTACATTTGGGCTGTTATTTTAAGAAGTTTTACATTTTTGAGGCTGAACAAACAAGAGGCTATCTCAAAGATTATTCTCCAAATTTTTTCCAATCTAGCAATTTTAAGTTTAAAATCGTGATTGTTTATGTTTTTTAGTGTATCTAAAAAAAATATTTCCTATTCTATCATTGTTTTTGCAAACAATGATTATAACATTAAGATATCAGATGACTAAGCCGGGTGATAACATATGATAGCATATATAAACAAATCAAAAAAACAAAAAAAAAACACACACACACACCCATACCGCTTATCATGCCCCAAAAAAATTGCTAATAAATAATACTTTTTTACTTAATCACGTACTAATTACATTAAATGTAATTTATTTCCCCCCCTTCATCTTTACACCCAACGTAGAGTCCATGTAAAATGTTCACCCGAATGGAGAAATCAACACATTTATCGTGATTCCTCCATGTTTCCCATGTACCGAAATAAGAGACAATCAAAATTGCACGAAGACAATTTAATATTGGGACCAAGACGTCGAAGACGTGATTTGGCTCCTCACGATGGTGAGGCTAATGTCGATACAAATGCTGCAGCTGATGCTGGTGCTGCTGTCGTTGAAAATTTCGATGATGATGATGAATCATATGAAGCTCCATCGATACCATCTAAACCCCAAGTACCGGAAAAGAAAGATGAAGATAATGTAATATCTGAGGATAAATTAGATGAACAAAAAGTAATGCCTGAGACTAAAACGAAAGATGTTAAGGATAATGGTGTTGTGGCTGCTGCTGCACCCAAAAGAGAAGAAAAACTAATCAAACCTATAGGTGGCGGTGATGTGCCAAATCCAGCTGTTAAAGAGACGGTTGTAGCTTCGGGTGAAAATATGATGCAACAGAATGCCTTCTGTAATAATATGGCATTGCCATTGACAAAAACTACAATCGATGGGGTTAATTATTATAATATGTCGGTAAGTAGTACCATCTGAGAAATAATTTTTTAGTTTTAATACTGACCTAATTACCTATGTATGTAGCAATTGATATATTATCCAAAGCTAAACCCCTTCTTTAATATATTTCTTATTCTAGTTCTCCATGTTCGTAGCCACCTTGCATGAGGAAGGATTGTATAATTTATATTTCCACAATTGTGAAAATTATCACGGATATGAGAAGCAGGTTTCGTTTGTGGTAAGTATGGAATTAGAATAGAATATATAACTATTTATATTCGGACATTAGAATATGTTAATTTAAAAAGTATTGTATTATTATTTATATATTACAAATTCCATTTATTAAAAATGTACATTTCTTCATTTCCAGGTTGACATTGAAGAAAACAACAATGGCAATTATTTGTCTGCCGGTGAAATGCCCTTGCCTGCTCTATATCTTATGATGTCCATTTTATTCTTTTTATCTGGTCTATTTTGGGTGTTTATTTTAAAGAAGAGCAAGTAAGTTGCACCTTGAAATAAATTTAAAATTATATTTTTAATTGTTTTCTAATTTCTTTCAGGCACACTGTTTACAAGATTCATTACATCATGGCCGTTTTGGTATTCCTCAAATCCCTGTCGTTAATGTTCCATTCCATAAATTATCATTTTATTGAAATACGCGGAGAACATGTTGAAGCCTGGGCTATTCTATACTATATTGCACATTTGTAAGTATCAGAACGTTGTTCTCTCATTTTTTATATTCCAGAAAAAGATTACAAATTTGGCCTACGTTTTGGTATAATCCCCATAGCACTGAACCACTTTGGTGTTTTGAAGGTTTTTGCCGCATTTTCCTTAACCCTAATATAAAGATTTTTTTGGATCTTAGGTATTTTTATGGTCCTGTGTTTTTGGAGGATGAAGAGTTCATTGCAACAATTTTTCAATGTAGGTCTATGTTTGACAAAGTTCCTTCGTATCTTAGGTATTCTATGGTCCTGGGTTTTTGGAGGCTGTTTTGCTATGGCTCCCTTATACAAGCCCTAATTCATTTTAAGTGATTTTGATTTTTGAAAATTATTGTTGTAACAGGTTGGCTGTTGATGAAATTTCTTTCCTGAAGCTATTGGCAGAATAAATAGAAAAGGAAAATGAGCAATAGACTTGTCGGCTCGGACGGGCAATTGAATATATGGTGTGTGTTATGAGACCTTTGCTGGCAGGAGGGACAACTATTTAGAATTCCGAGGACAATTCGCTCTCGATACGAATTGAAAACATTGATATACCCGCATCTTAGTTGTGCCAGAAGGAAGAGCCCTCTCACTGTCCGAAATTCTAGAAGGATGTTGGAGTCAACAAGCTTGTTGATTCACAGATTTCATAGTGCTCGCTATCGACTATCTGTTGACGTCCGATGGAATGGCATCTTGGACGCCTTCATTGTTGTGCCTGAAGTCCTAATGGATATGTCGCGGACGTGGATCAGCCATCACTATATGATAGTTGGGATAACACGGCAAATAGGGTTGGCTGAGCAATTGAAAAAAAGTTGAAGTTTACCATGCCATCAATTTCCATCCACTACGAATTGTCAAAAGCACTCTGGATAGTCTCCGTAGCTGTTGCTCTTCCTCTGCTATCGGTGGCGGTGTTTCTCTTCGTGGATTGTGTATTTTCGAATTAATTTCTCAACTGCATTACTATGAATACGATTAAATTCTGGTTGTTGTAGCAGCTCTATTGTTTTTACATAATAGGCTGATGTGACAGACGTTGGCCGAGAAAGACTCGGGTCGTTTCGGATCGTAGACCCCGCTGTCGTGGAAACGATCCAATTCTGGTTGATATGCCTGTTGATCTAGAGGCCATCTTTTGTACCTCTGAAACTCTATCCAGATTATGAAGATCCATCCTGACATGCCAGGATGGTGGATGTCTATCCATACGATGATGGTTTGGATGATTGCTTTGGTACAACTAAGTAGATATTGCCTCGAGAATATCTTGCTGTGTTATTGCACAGAAAGTCTCCTTATGTAAGTAGTCCATTGGAGTCATGAGGAGATCCCTATTGCAGTCCTCAGGGCGTCATTCTGGCAGGATTGAATGGTTTTCGATTGCGTTGCGGACAACACTGGAGCCGCATAGTTTACCACATGCCAACCTATTGCTGTATATGCTGTTACAGTAGATATCGGATATAAGAAACTCAAAAAAAGCCGGAGATTTCTTTCTTATATGCGTTTTTTTCTTATATGAAATTATCGGACATAAGAACATATAAGCTCGGTGTTTTTGATAATCTTTCTTATATGCGATTTTTTCTTACATGAGATGTGCTTATATCCGATATCTACTGTAACAAGATTAGTGCCGGCTAGTGTCTTGAGAACCTTGATCCTACTCCTGACTGTATGGCAAATAGCAAAGTTGTCTCTAGCTTTTAGAGATTGCTGGTGGAAAAAGGTTAGGAACAATGTTGCTTCGAAATGACATTCGATAGTTATTCCTAGGGCACTGTTTTGCGCATGTTGGTCCGAACCTGGGCAGAATCTCGACTGAAATAACTAGTTCAATCAAATTTCCCCCCTGTGTTAAGGTGAATATGGCGTGGATAAGTGTTGAAGCTGGCACTTATTTCAGCTATACATACTTCCGAAAACGGGGGTAGTGCAGTGGATAGTGTCCCGGCTTCGAATACCAAGAAAGAAATAACTACTCCTGTGTTTTCGTTTTTTCGATCATTTGTAAAAATAGACTTACGCCCTAATTACTCTAAAAATAAAATCTCGGCATCAATGCATGAGGTAGTGCCACAGAGAGAAGAGAAATTACGATTCTAAATAAGTAAGAATACCAATCGCAGCACACAAATCAAGGATGTATTGCTTCTATTCAACGATAGATGGCGTTCTCATTGCCTAGGACAATTTACAGCAGGCCAATATATTTAACTAGTATAAAAAGCAATAAGTAACAAAACAAGGATATGACGAGTAGATTACGATGTTTGGTGGAGTATCGGGAGAATAATTGATCTTGAAGGCATGAATGGGCAATAATCGGCCCAAGATAACATATTTATACCTTGTCGAGGTGCAGGGAGCTTTGCAAGGTAGAAGTTGATGTTGTGACAAGATTTCTCCTTTGCCGTACGCTCCTATCTCGGAAGCTCTCTGACAAAATATAAATGTCAGGGGATAGTGTCATCCAGAGGAAAAATTGCTACCTTAAATAAGCAAATATTCCAAACACTGCATAAATTTCAAGAAGACGTTGTTTCTAGTCAACGAAAGATGGCATCCCCATTACCCTGGACAAGCTATAGCATCATCTACTAGCTGGAATAAAAAATGACTAATAAAACTAACGCAAGGACAAATCGTGTGAGATCTAGAGTTGGAAGCTCACTCAATCCAAGAGGGGTATCAGGAGAAAAACAGTTTCTCAAAGATATGATTGTGCAATTGTATGGACAAGATAACTTATTAATGCCGTGTGAAAATGTAGGAAGATTTGAAATTTTGAGGTTGAATAGGAGTTTTGACAAGTCTCTTCCTCATTTTAATTTGTTAAAATTGAATTTTCTGCCTCGGCATTCTAACTTCGTCATCAACAGATGGCAATAACACAAAAAGAAATATCAGTAGGTAACTTCGCCAAGTGGACAGATGGCAACACTAAATAAGCAAGGATACCAACCACTGCAAATAATTGCAGGAGGTGTTATTTCTAGCCAACGATAGATGGCAGCCCCATTACCGAGGATAGGCTGGCTTAGTATGATAAATTCTCCAGTATATTTCGGCTATCCAGGTTAAGGGTGGGGTATAATTCGATCGACTTTTCATATTTCTAGTATTTCCGATATGTTAACCGAAATATTAAGTAGTTCGCAAGGTATATGAATCTATTGGATCGATTGAATTTGCATTTCAAATATGGGAAAATATGTGGAAGCTTTTACTTGTCCATGTTGATAATAGTAACTTACATTTATATCTTATCTTTTATCCAACATCGCATTTTTTCTTTTAGACTTAAAGGAGCTGTACTTTTCATAACAATTGTATTGATCGGTACCGGTTGGACCTTCATTAAACACATACTTTCGGATAAAGATAAGAAGATCTTTATGGTTGTTATACCACTACAGGTAAAGTCCACTTACTGCTGACATTTTCTTTCAACAAATCTAAGAAAATACAATTTCTTTTCAGGTTTTAGCCAACGTTGCTGAAATTATTATCGAAGAATCGGAAGAAAGTGATGTGGAATTCCGCACATGGCATAACATCTTCATTTTTGTCGATTTACTGTGTTGCGGTGCAATTCTATTCCCCATTGTATGGTCAATACGTCATTTGCACGAAGCCTCAGCGACAGATGGCAAAGCTGCCATAAATCTACGCAAATTGAAATTGTTCCGCCAATTTTATATTATGATTGTTTGTTATATTTACTTTACCCGCATTATTGTTTATCTGCTGAAAATGACAGTGGCATTCCAATATGCTTGGCTGGATGAGATGTTCCGTGAAATGGCCACATATGTATTCTTTGTACTGACGGGTTATAAATTCCGTCCAACATCATCACATCCCTATTTTGCTGTCGACGATGATGATGACGACGACGAGGTGGAGGTGTTGACAGAGTCGGGTCTCACACACAATACCATACATCGTACAAAAGCTCAATCCCGTAATATTGTATCGGGTACAACCATTATCGAGGGCAATGATGAGGAGAAGGAGAATTTAATATCGAAACGTGAATCTAGTCATGAATACGATTAGATGTTAAGCCGTAGTAGAATGGAACTAACAAAACAACAATTTAGATTATTTGTATATGTTTTTTAATTTAATTTGACTTTATTATTTGTAACCAAGAAGGATTTTTTCACCTTTGGTGGTGGTTACAAAATATGGGCCTTATATTTCATTTTATTTTAAACACATTTGTCACACGCTTAAGGCCAAGGGCTTAGATGGTGAACATTTTGCCATGTGAAATGATTTATTTGATCCGTATTTCGATTTTATCACCATCAATTTTTTTATTAGTTTTTTTCTTAAATAACAAAATATCAGACAGACTGAAAATGATGTTTATTTGTGTTAAATAGTTTGGTTTTTAATTTGTTCTTCTGTTGCTGAAGTTTTTGAATATTATTTTATTTTTTCGATTTGCGAACCTTAGACACGAAGAAGTATTTGTAAATTTAGGCCATTTAGATGAATATATTTTGCTTTCGCTATCTCCAATTCCAGGAATATTTATATAACACAGTATGAACACAATAAAGAAACATAATTTTATAATTCATTTGTAACCAATTTAGAAATATTAGAATAAAAATCGGAATGTGAAAAAATATCTCCAAAAAATTACATTCGTTTTATTTTGGGTGTTTTAAAAATTGTTAAAATTGAACTGAGTTTTGATTTTATTTAGACTCTACTGCCCAACTACGTTTGCTTGGAAAATGCATAACTTTTTGTTATTTGTGAAGAACGTGGTTATGTTTTTAAAACTTTATGGGAATGTACCAGCGGACCAATGATATTGGTTTGGTAAATGTAATTTTGATATTGGTTTGGTAAATGTAATTTTTTATATACCCTCTTTATTCATAAGGCAGAGGGTATACAAATTTAATATAAAATTCTCACCTTGAAGAAAAGCTCCTGTCCCATCTCTTTACTCTCCTAAGCTCACGAGGGTAGTAGAGATCAAACACCGACTGCAACTGCGACGACAACGATTATTCAGACGATTGAGGATAACACGAACAAGTGAAAAAGCGTTAAGTTCGACCGGCCCGAACCTTACATACCCTCCACCATAGATATACTGACAGGTACTAGAAATGAAAATATAGGGAACATACCAAAAAGTGGACCTATACCGACACTTCTAAAAATGGATTATGTAAACTATAATACAAATTTCAGAAATTTTTCAGGAATAATTATACCCTCAGCCTTATGGCTAATGATGGTGTATACACTTTAACACGTTGAAAATGTGCCTCATCGAAATATTGGTTCTAGACTCCATGTTTCTTTGGACCAAATCCGTTTCAGAAAATTTAGATTTCATCCAAACCTTGCCCATCTTATTATTTCTTCCAAACTTAGTTTAAAATTCGAAGATGGGGAATATCGGTCCACTCCTTCTGAGACCTCCACATAGGGGCTAGGCCTAAATGCGGCTATAGTTCATTATCAAACGTTACGTTCTAATTTTTTATCTCCTCCGCAGGTGAAATGATTACAACAGAGTCTTAGAACCAAAATCAAAACGCGGAATAAATCAGATAACTATTTTAATATAAAAAAGGGTAAGGAGATTTGTTACCATATACGACTACAAAATACCAAATTGCAGCTAATTCGGTTGAAAAACGCGCTCAAGATTCCCAAAATACCGAAAATTGGGGGTATCCTATGGGGGCTATCCGAAAAAAAATGGACCTATACTTATAATTTTTTGTGGAGAGATTTAGTACCTATTAAGAACTCAAAATACTAAATTACAGCTAATTCGACGGAAAAATACGAGCAAAACAAAATACCGAAAACTAGGAGGTACCGTTATATGGGGGCTACCAGGAAAAGGGGACCTATATTTATAATTTTTTTGTGGAGACATTTAGTACCCAATAAGAACCCAATGTAGCAAATTTCAACGAATTCGGATGAAAAACTCGTCCAAGAACCCCAAAATACCGAAAATTGGGGGGTACCCATATATGAGAGCTATGCCTAAACGTGGACCGATAAAGCCCATCTTCGATCTTGACCTGCCTGCAGACAAAAGACTCTATGTACAATTTTGGCGATTCTATCTCATTGCTATATCGTCATAGAATTTTCCGCTGATCAAGAATGTATATATACTTTATAGGGTCGGAAATGATTATTTCGATGAGTTACAAACGGAAAAACAAAATTAATATACCCTCCATACAATGGTGGAGGGTACAAAATGTAAACAAACGAGCAATAGAGATGAAACAACGACGGCGGCGACCGCGACCACAACGATTGTTCATACGGCCGAGGATAAGACGAAAAACGTAAATAAACGAAACCACGAAATGACCCCGAATCTAAACAATGAACAAATGGTAGCAAAAACACACAGCCCGATTTTATTTTTTACACAACATTTTAAATTTACAATTATATGTTCAATGATTTGACAAATTCGATTTGAAAACTTCACTTTGGCCAATAACTTTGATTTACAAGAAGGAATTCAAACATTGATAATTACATAGGGGCAATAGAACACACAATGGAAAAACGAACACCGAACAAATATGAGCAGACAACTTGCAAATAAAACTACGCACAAAACTAAAAACGCAATTGGATTAAACTAAACTATATAAATTTACAAATGATCCATCATCTGAAATTAAATGACCGAAATTAAAGAAAACACGACTCGCGAAACTCCCGACGACAAATTACTCGCGCCCGGCTTTAATGAAAATACAAAGCAACTGAAGAGAACATAATTGTAGAGTTGCCCTAATCAATGTAATTAGATCAAAATTGGTGATGGTGGATGGACATCTTTCAGTCATTTAATTGAGGGATTAAATGAGTAAAAATATCGATTTTAAATACTGAAAGAGTCATTGAAAAAGTATAGGTCGGATTTATGATCCAAATTGAATGACATTTGACAAGGCTCATTTATTTGGCCCAGGAACGAACCCTATTGAAACTGGAAAAAATTGGTTCAGATTTAAATATAGGTCCCATATATATTATCGTCCGATTTAATGTAAATGGCGGCCCAAAGTCCCTATATATCATTCGATTTGCACGAAATTTGGCACAGCGTACTGAGTTAAGTCTAGCATGATGTGTGGTAAGTTTCGTGGAAATCGGTTTAGATTTAGATATAGCTCCCATATATATTTTCGTTCGATTTAATGTAAATGGTGTACCAAAGTCCCTATATATATGTCGATGTGCACGAAATTTGGCATTGAGTCTGTAATGATGTGTGTTAAGTTTTGTGAAAATTGGTTGAGATTTAGATATAGCTCCCATATATATTATCATCCGATTTAATGTGAATGGCCTACCAAAGTCCCTATATATCATTCGATTTGCGCGAAATTTGGCAAAGCGTGCCAAAATAGCCAGGCTGAATCCCATTTGGTTATTTTTATAAAAAAAAACTATTTATTAGTGGGGAATGTATGGCATTGTTCGCCGAGGGGTAAGGCAGGGAAGACTATAGTTTCGGATCGCGCCACTGATCCTCATCAGTTCTCTTAGTTTTTTGTTGGGATATTCTCCCCAGAAGCTATTTATTGCTTCGATACAAAAAACCTTTCATACCCAAATGTCTCTTGTAACAAAGCGAAGTACTTAGCTGAACAAAAATAGTTATTTTTTATAAAAATAACAACAATAACAATAGTCAGCCTGACTATTTTCCAAAAACAAAATACAAATGGTATCCCAAATAAACCACCAACACTACTATAGCTCTTATATATATTTTCGGCCGATTTTATGTTAATTGTGCACTAAAGACCAAACGTTTGGCCGATTGGCATTTTGTACAATGTACTGAAGTTACTATAAACTTAAGTGTGTCAAGTTTTCATTCATTTCGATCTATTCATGTTAATTGTACACCAAGTCAATGGGTGCCTTATTGAGATTAAATGAAATTTTTAGCATAGGTTGCAGAATGGCATGGTTAGGGATTGATGTTAGTCGGTTTACATGTAGATAAATATCGCATATTTAAGTTCGTTAAATTTCATGTCAATATTCCTTCGAAAAGGCGACGTCTGTTAAGACAAATATGGCCCAGTCCGACTTTACTACTTTCTTTACTGGTTTTCTATTGGATTAAGGTCTGGACTTTGGGCAGGCGTATCTAAAACATTGCCACAGGTACAAAGAAGCCACATCCGGATTATGCATATGTAAATTATGCTTAGGAATTTGTTTTAAAATGCGGCTCGTTGTCCCTAATGAACCCAAATCATGATATATACCCCCTAATCATTATTGAAATGTTTCCAAATTTGAATGTTAGCTTGTACCAAAAAACACCATTTTTGTTTAATGGCAAATTTTAACGTCGTCCCAATATTCAGTCGCCTGCAAACGTTCATATTGACGAATGAAAAAAACCTTGTTTATATATCTGCTGCTGATATGATAAATAACAAACAAATATCTAAATTTTGAAATGTTTAATAATAATCCTTGTGTAAACTCATTCTTGACTACATAAACAATGGGTGAAAATGTGTTGAAGCCAACGAGTTTTTTGTGTTCCTTCCTAATTTATGGCTAAACTACACGACGCACTCACATGTGATCAGTGACTAAGTTGCAGAATACCCTATGGACAATAAGGATCTAATGTATGATTTTTCGATATAATCCCAAAATGAATGCTGACATTTTGAAGCCGGTTTTTCGGTGTTTTTTGAATTTTTCTTATCCATCATCCAGATAATGGACTAAACTGGTTATAGCATTGTAGAACTCGTGATTTTGCCTCGTTTAGTGTATATCTCATGAATGTGCTCACCGTAGCTTCTTTGCAATTGGGTTCCAAAGTCGAAAATTTGGTGCGTAAATTTTTATAAAAAACATATTTTTTGAGTCTAAAATTAAGAAAGTGCATTCAAATTCCGTGGAACCCCGCGTGATTTTAGTTTTTTTACGTGCCGGATCTAATGAGCCCATCCATGTCCAATTCCACCCAATAAAACGGCGTATATACGTACCTTGAATGTGGGA